CAAAACCTCATGGAACCTGACACAGCACCACCAAGTCGAGACATATTATAAATAAACAGATTAACCAAGCTAACTCAAAGCAATGACCTACCCTCAAAATCCTCTGTCTTTATTTTGGGACAATCACTACCTGCCCACTGATGAATTGCACCAGAAGAGACAGAATTACCAGAGGGAGAGAAGTGTTGAGAGCTGCTTGTGTGTCCCTGACCTGACACGAAAGTGAAGGATGTGCTCCTAAGTCCAGATAAATTCTTTTGATATTTTTGGTGAATTGGGCATGGACATACCCAAATGACTGGGCACTGGACAGAACTGATTCTGGCACTGATTCCTTCCTAAGCATGTTGGAATACAGCCAGATTCCAAAAAGAAAGTCTAAATACCTTTAACCTAACAGCAAAAGACAACAGGGGTTTTTTTCTTCCCTAGAAGTCAATACAAGGAAAGTTTAGGTGAGAGGTGACAAGGAGAATGATGACCAGGCAGTAAATGCCTGATAGACAGCAAACACTCCTCTAACCTGCAAAAGGAGAGTAAACAATAAATAAACCTCAGCAAGAGGCAAAGCCCACAAATAAGGCACCTTACAGAGCTTTGGTCTCTCCTGATTTGAATCCTGGGAGATCTCTAATTGTAGGAATAGCATTTACAAATTGAGATAGCACACCCAGGGCCCTCAACCCTCTCTCCCCCAAGGGTTCCAAAGGCTCCCCAGGCACACACAGGGCACAGAGCTCTGCCTTTCACCTCCCTCTGGGGACACCTCCAAACCTCTCTCCAAACTAAGCAAACTCCTAATAAGGCTTTTTATAGCTGCACCCATTCCCACTGTATCTGCACAGGCTCCTGCCAGGAATCAAGCCAGCAAGGCACTGCACACCTCCTTGTGGTCCACAATATTCATCAGCCAGGTCTTTATATCCACACCTAACATTACAATCCAGGGATGGATACACAGCTGGGAATGTAATAAACAGCCTGGGAGGAACCCAGTGCTACAAATAAAGACACAACTATTGTTTGGAATAATATTACCAGGGTACAGGAGTGTGCTTGCAGCAGGAAGGAATTAATCTGTGACATATTTATAAACAAACAAGGTTTGTTTGTTGAAATTGTGAGGCTGCTGAAGTTAACAGAAGTGAAGACCAGTGGCAACAGCATTTCCTTCTACAGTTAGAAAAACTTCAGCCTCTGTTCCTGACTATGAATTTATTTACCCTGTTAAAAATCAGCAGCAGCATGCAGAAAAAAACTGAAGATGGTTTTCTTTCCCCCTGAAATGAAGAATGGTACCATGCTAGCAATGGCCATGACATAAGGCTTCAACTCTAATTGTAAAACCACTGTAGAAAATAAAATATTTACTAATGATCTTTCACTTATAATCTCAGCTCAAACAGAGCAATTAAATTCGTTAGTTCCATCTTTGTCTTGGAGTAATTAGATTAGTTTCTTCTCTAGGAACAAAAATTTTAAAAAGTCATACTCTAACTCTGGGAAAGCACCAGGGAATATTTAGTACTAGAACAACAACAGTGGCAAGGCTCCCTTGCTGATGTTATAATTACAGAAACAAATTAGAGGTATTCTATTTCTAAATACTCACATACATGACCATAGATACAGACTCTGGGAAGATGCAAAGAGTCACCCAAACTCAACACTCAGGCAGAGTAGCTGGGAGCTTCAGACCTTTTAAAACAGCTTTTCAAAGCTTTTAAAAGCTTCACATTTTTAAAGAGCTCAATAAGAGAATAATAACAATAAGAGAATAGTAAGAGAATAATAAGAGAAAAACAAGAGAATAATAAGAGAAGTGTTCACACAGGCCAGTCCTTGCACACTGACAGTGCTCGGGGTCCCCACAGGAGTGGGCCATGAATCCAATCCCTCCTCCAGAGCTCCACACATCCTGCCCATGCTCAGCCAGCTGTCTGCCAGCTGTGCCATGCTGGACCATCCTGGAACACTGTGGTTGGCAGCAATCAGTAACTGACAGGAAGGACAAAAGTAAACTTGTCTCTAGAATCCCCAGACTGGAGCAGAAAGCCTGGCCACACCACACACACAGGAATTTGACATCTTTCTCACTTCTGAGCTTTCATCTCCTAAAACACCCCCTACTCTTAAATCAGAACTCTCCCCCTGGGAGAGGAACGTGGAGGAAAGAAGAAGGGAAGGATTTACCTTTCAGGAGGCACGGTGTCAGTGTTGCTGCTGTGCCGCCTCTGCATTTTCCTCAAAACCCTAAAACACAACACGCTCAACATGAACCCAGTGGCTCAGCAAATCCCAGCGTGGCTACTGGCACAGGCCTGGGGACACAGGGCTGTGGGACCTGCTCAGCTGGGGACATGGCTGGCAGGAATCATTGCTTCTGTGACAGAGCACCTCAGCTCTCACTTGAAGAGACAACTTTGAATGGCAAAAGGGAGCACTCAGGTGTCCAGGCTGGGCAGGAATCAGTCAGGTCCCCTTCTGCAGCAAGAGGCAGTCACCAGGATGTCACCAAAGCTGAGGGATGGCATGTCCTGGCAAGGAACCCGGGGACATCCAAGAGGTGCTCTCGATGTGATGTGGGACTCAACAGCCTCTTGGGAAATGAGATCCCATCTTCCTTTTCTGGAGGAACTTGCTTTGCAAAGCAAAACTGAGAGGGAGGAAGAAAAAGAAAATGTGTAAACAATTTTAATGAAAAAAATATAATTAGCTCATGATAATATTCTCTTAAATAAGCAACTCGTTCATTTTAATCTACAGAAATGCCATTTGCAAAGTCTGGACAACAGCCCCAGAGTACAATAGCTACTTAATAAAATGGAAAGACTAAGATCTAAATACTCTTGAATATAAAAAGTTATAACATATTCATAACACATGATAATATATACATAAATGTGTAGCCCATTAAAGGCACAATGGCCCTGGGAAGGTTTGCCAGGTGTCTCAAAGCACAGTACCTGAAGAGCAGCAGGATAACTGAGGTGAAAGGTGCCACTCTGGGAGAGATGGAAGCTCAAGGGCGTGCAGACATTCACGGATGGAGCACTTCAGACAGTGCAGATTTCAAACTCTGATTCACAGGCCCTTCAAGGCAGTGGCAGCCAGCACCTGGCCCCAGGGCTCACAGAGACCCACCTGGAGGAAGCACACACACACACAGAGGAATTTCAGCACAGCACAAAGAGTTTGACCTCTCCATCTCGCAGGGAAAGGCAGAGAGGTGCAGGAACCCCTGTCCACATGCATGACCCAACAAGGCTGTTTTCCTCTGGGACTGGCACCTCAGCCCTGCTTCCCACACAGGCACTCCTGGGAGTGCTCCCAGAGCTGTACTCTGCCCCCACGGTGTCCATACACACACATATGTGTGTGTCTGATATAAATACAGACAGAAATGTGCTTATATATATGTGCACACGTATCATAGAATGTCTCACACACATATAGCATAATATACATTTTATATGTACATCTATGCATACACATATGTACCTATGTATGTGTACACACATATATACACTTACATATACTGTGATGTATAGGTAGAGGTATAGATCTGTTAATGTATTCCTACATACCCATCTATTAACACAAATATATATGTCTAGGTATATATACACATATACACACATATCTATTAATATGGTTCTATACATATACATTCATATATACTTATATGTATATATGGAGATATATATATGTATCTATACATACATATATGCATATACATACATACACACATAAAGATATACATACATGTATATACATATATATACATAGACATATTTATTAATATGGTTTTATTGATATAAATAGATATCTATATCCATATATATATATGGATACACACAAATACATGGTATAGCTATATAAATATACATACATATACATATTTAAACAGACATATCTATTACTATGGTTCTATAGATATAAATACATTTATACATCTATATATGCATACATAGCATACATATACAGACATCATAGTACACATATATAGATATACACACATGTATATACATATATGTAGACTTATCTATTAATACAGTTCTACACAAATATAAACATCTCTATATATAGATTTATACATAGTATATATAGATATACATATATATACATACAGGTATATATGTATATATACAGACATATCTTAAAACGGTTCTATATCTATACATACACATATACATCCATATATACACATATACAGATAGTACACATATATAGATATACATATATAAGTAGAGGTATACATACACATATATCTATATATACAGACATATCTATTAATATGGTTCTACAGACATAAATACATATATATATAGTATACATATATAGATATACATACATATACATATATATATACACACATACATACACATACATACGTATATATAGATATATTAAAAACTACCATTCTATACGTACACACGTATATATATGTACACAAACACATAGTCATAAGCCAGGCCTTTTCTTCCTATTAGGTGGGGAAAGAAGATTCCCGCTGGATATCGGGGGCGCAGTGCCCGGCCCAGCCCCGCGGTGCCCCCGTACCCAGTGGCTCGGCCTGGTCACGGTGTCGGTGTCGGTGTCGGTGTCGGTGTCGGTGTCGGTGTCGGTGCCGGTTCCCGGTGCCGCCCCGCCCCGCGCACGCCCGGCCGCGGTTTCCGCCGGCCCCGCACCGCGGGCGGAAGCGCTCGGCCGCGCCGGGGCCGCTCGCTCGGAGCTCGGCTCTGCTCGCTCGGGGCTCGGGCCTGGGCTCGGCTCTGCTCGCTAGGGGTTCGTCTCTACTCGCTCGGGGTTCGTCTCTGCTCGCTCGGGGCTCGGCTCTGCTCGCTCGGGGCTCGGCTCTGCTCACTCGGGGCTCGGGGCCGGACTCGGCTCTGCTCGCTCGGGGTTCGGCTCTGCCCGCTCGGAGCTCGGCTCTGCTCGCTCGGGGCTCGGGGCCGGGCTCGGGACCGCTCGCTCGGGCCCGCCGGTGATGCCGGCCCCGGGCTGAGCCCCCGGCCCGGCCATGCTGCCCTGCGGGGCCGTGCTCTGGCGGAGGCTGCTCAGGAAGCGATGGGTCCTCGGCGTCGTCTTCGGGCTCTCGCTCGTTTATTTCATCACCAGCACCTTCAAGCAGGTCAGTGCCGGCCCCGAGGCGCCACGGGTGGGTTAAAACATCCCTTATGCCACGGTACTTTTGTTCTCCAGATGCTGTCACCGAACTGCTGCCGTAAGAGGGACGTTATGAATATTTAATAGATGCGAGAGTTTAAAATAGGAATGCCTGATTGTGTGTTTGAGAGCAATAGTGATTTGAACCAAAACTGGGAAAAAAAAGTCTCCGGTGGGTTTGGTATTCGTTGTTGTATCTCTTGGGAGTGGTGATTCCACTGGAAAAGTCCTCATGAAAGAGAAACACGTTCAGCTGCGGTTATTTAATATAATACATACTGCTTTTGTGGTATATATATATATATATGGTGAGTTCAGCTGTGTTAGCTGATCCATGGTGAACTTGAATATCCTCACTTTACTGGACTGTGTATCTTCCTGTTATGTACAATATGAACTAAGACACTACAAGTAGTAAATTGTTTGTACCATTGTTGCTGGAGTTTCCTGCGCCGTGGAGTTTACAAGTACTAGACATTAATCCTGGGAAAGGCACGTGGGTTGAAGTGGCAGAAGGAACTTGTACGTTTGGTTGCATTTCTGTTTTTCCTTGCAGGAAGAGAGGATGGTGAGAGACCGGAATCTCCTCCAAGTGCAGGAGCATGAGCAGCCCATCATGTGGAAGGTGAAGTTCAGCTCAGGGAACAGCAGCCAGCTGAGTAACCAGTGCAGGAACTCTGTGCAGGGGAAGCTCCTCATTACAGATGAACTGGGTATAGTTGATATTTAGTTGAATTTATTCTGTGTATGGGAGTGCTGAACGCTGCCTTGCCTGTCTGACCGCTGACGGCACTTTCATGTAACAACTGCTCTTTATTAAGGTATTTTTTACTCAGCCCTTGGCCTGTTCTCCTCTGGCTGGCTGAATTTCACTGTGGCTGCAGACACTGCTGCTTTGGCCCTGTGCTGTATGAGTGTGACTGTGGCCACCTTAAAGTCAAAGGATTGCAGTTACGTTTGCACAGACCCCAGCTGTTCAGTCCTGCTCGATTTGTGTGGTTGCTTGCAGAGCTCTTTTGTGTCTCCCTGCAGTGTGCTCCTGCTATCAGGGGTGTTAGGGAGAACAACTGAGCCAACCTTGGCCTTGTGTGCAGGCAGCTCAGGGCTCGTGTAATTAGTGCTCAATCACAGTTAACAAGCTCGTCTGACCCTGGTGAACCCGAGGTTATTAACTTGTTTGAAGTGGTAGAGGTTAAAGACACTTTCTGCCCTGCATTGTGCTTGTTGCTTAGACCCTGGGTCTTTCTTGGCCACAAATCAAGAAAGGTGGGTGTAGAAAACCCACCAGATCTTTTGTGATTTGCATCAATGTTAAATTTGGCACTGCCTGACTTAGGCTTAGTGCCAGTTCATAAGATCTCTGAAATGACAGATCTCTCACAGTCTTAACACTGTGATAATACTGTCTCCATAAGGATATACAACATATTTCTGTATTTTAAGGATTCCACTCAGCAATGAATATTACACTATCCTGCATGGCTAAATCTGAATCAATTCATACTGAACTGTAACAGAATTATCCAGACACAGACCCATTGAAAAAATATGTGTCATGGTTTTTTTTCCAATATAATCAATGCCAATCCCATTCCCCCTTTCACAACAAGGAACTATGCCCAAAAAACCTCAGAACTTAAATAACCTGCATTTGAATACCCATAGTGTATATACAGCACATATTAGAGTAGGATATAATAGTTGTTCAGGCTGATTGAAATGCTGCTCTCCATTTCAAAGAATGGATACATAGGACTGAAGGGAATCATAATCTACCAAATTGTAATAGTGGTGGGTGTTTTTGTACTATTTAATTAGTGGTTTGTTTTAGGGTTTTTTTGTTTTTACTTAGAGTTAGGATTAAAAGATACACGAAGGAAAAGGATTTATTTGTGTTTGGGGTTGGATGTTCATTAAATCTTATTTAAAAGTATAGGACGTTCAGCAACACTTCTAGCTACCAGCTGGAAGTGAGTAAAATTGAGTGAGATTAAGTTATAAGGTCTTTTAAAGTTAAACCGTTTAATAGAGAATTAAACCTACATTATTCATACTTTCAACTTAATAACTGAATTACTATGATCCTTAGTGTGACACTGACTAACCAGCAACTACTATTTGAAACCATGAAGAAGGAAGATGAAAGAGACACTACTCAAAATCCTTTCTTTTGTCCCATACTTATTACTATATTATAAAAACCTTAAATTTAAAGTCTTCACTATGTGAAAGCACACACTCCTGTTTAACTAGACTAGTTAAACATCAACAAATAAATGATCCAACATCAAATGATAAACAAACCCGTTCTTAAGGCATGTGATGCTTACTGCAGATTGTCACAGATCATCCAGAAGGGTGTGCCTCGCCAGTTGTTACTCCTGTTGCTGTTTTGCAGGCTACATCTGTGAGAGGAAGGACCTGCAGGTGAATGGTTGCTGCAATGGGAACGTGCCCAGCACGAAGCTGTACAGCTGTGAGAGCTGCCTGCCCAATGGCTGCTGCAGCATCTATGAGTACTGTGTGTCCTGCTGCCTGCAGCCCAGCAAGGTGAGAGCCTTCCTCCTGCTTTCCAGAGCTGCTCAGCTTCCTCTGTGCCTCAAAGTGAGGAGCTTTTCCCTTAGAGGGACAGTTCCCTTTCTTGGAAGGATGAGGAAAGCCTCCAAGGAGCATATGGCAAGCTATAAATAAAGCTTTAACAAAATTCATCCTTACCACCTTTAGGAGCCTTGCAGTGTTTGACCTTCAGAGGAATTGCATTTGCTGAAGGGAAAAGATTGCAGAAGAGTTACTCCAGCCAGTATTGGTTTTGTAATTGGCACTTCCCTGAGCTTCTCTTAGGTTCTTGTCCTGCCACTGAGGCATTAGCCTTTCAGTGCTTGCTAGAAATCCTCAGTGGAGTTGCTTACTATTCCTCTTAATACCTGAGCTTTGCAGGTTAGGGTGGGCTTTGACTACTCCTTGCTGAAGCAGAGTGTTTCTGTTTTTTGCCTTCTCTTTGCTTACCACTTCAGCAACATCTCCTGGAGCGCTTCTTGAACCGGGCAGCGATTGCTTTCCAAAACCTCTTCATGGCAGTGGAAGATCACTTTGAGCTGTGTCTGGCCAAATGTAGGACTTCATCACAGGTGAGGCACAAGCACGTGTCCAGGGCCCAAAAAAAGTGCCCTTGGAAAATGGGCTCAATGCTGTGAATGGCTGGTGTGTCGTGTTTGTATTTTCATAAAAGTGAAAGCCAGTCTGAAGGCAAAGCACATATTTAGAGCAGAATGAGTTGCACGTTCTCTTTAGAAAAGAGGAGCTTAACTAAACAGAGACTGAGTTCAATGACCAGTGAGGATCTCAGATGAATTCTGGGGGAGAGCTCATTAGGATGAAAACAGTGAGAGCTGTTTCAGTAGCCTCAGAATGCTCTTTATTTTATGGTACAGTTGGAGACTAACCATGTGCTGACAATCACCTGCAGTAACTCAAAAACTATGTTGTAATTTCTTTGCTTATTAAGGACAAAGGTGAACTTCTGTTACCCATATGATTTTATTTGAAGTTTTGGTCTAAGCAAGCAGTGGCCCTTTTAGAAAGTGCTGTTGGCCATGTCCTGCAGCTTCAGTATTTCATGTAGCCATAGGGATGGACTGCAAACAGAGGAAAGAGTCCCAAATGTCTCCAGAGTTACTGGGAATTTTTACCCATAAAATCTGAACTCTACCTTTTATCAAGAAAAATGCACACATCTTAAATAGCAACTTTATTGGGCTTTGGTTGCTTAGAACACTTGAAGATACTGCCTAAACATATCTAATTTTTTTATTTTTATGGAATCTGTTTCCACCTGCTTGGGTACTCTCTTGAAAAGGAGTTTCTGGTTTGACATTGTAGTGCTGTAATATATCAACTGGCTCTTGTATGTTGGCAGTGCAGAGTTCTTTGACTCCAAAGACACTGTGATGTGTAGAATTTGGGATTTTTTTTTTTTATCTGTCCATAAATGCAGTGGGTTTTGTCTCTCAGTGAAGGGATGCCTTTTTCACTGTGTGTATATCGTTAGAGCTTCTCCTCCTTTCCTGACAGAGTGTGCAGCATGAGAACACCTACAGAGACCCAATTGCCAAATACTGCTATGGAGAGTACCCCCCAGAGCTCCTGCCTGTTTGAGAGCTGCAGATCTGAGCAGCAGAAGGAAGGAACTGGAGACTCAAATCCAAAAGAACAAGACAGCAGCTGTTGCTTTGCCAAAGCCTCAGTGTAAAAAGCTCGTCTTGTATGTGGAGGCAAACCCAGAGGTGAACAGAGGAAGTAAGGAAATTTAAGTTCTTCAGGACTGAATCTTGCTTTCTTCAATTTATTCTGCACCTGCTTTTGGAGTGCTGGTACTGTGCTGCCGTGCCAGTGCATTCTTTGAATATTTCCTCTAAATTTCAGGAATCATGGAGTCAATCTAGGCTATAGAACATCAAGGGAAAAGTATCCAATGTGGCTTTGCAGCTGTAAATGGAGGTGCAGTTGTGTCTGCAGTCCAGACTTTGCAGAGTGACAGTAGTAACTGGAGTTACTGCTGCTTTCAGAGAGTAAAGCATGCCTGCTGTGCTTCTCTCTCTGGAACCCTTCTTGACATGCATGGTGTACACTACATATGTAATTATGAATTATTCATCCATTTTCTCTGGGTCACTGGCTGAAAATGTGGATGCTTTGCATAGCTAGTTGTGGATGCCTTTCAGTCCCTGCTTTGCTGTGTCAGCTAGAAAGGATATTTTAGACCCTGACTAAACTTGGTAGGGGTTTTTTTCCTCCTTAGTCTAAAGGAATTGTATTGGGATTTGTCATTATAGTACTTATGTTCCTCTTAGTGAGTTTAAACCATTGAGAACTCCAATGGAGTTGTTCTTCTGCCAAAGTCCCACAAGAGAAGAGCAGGGATGTGTCTAGGATGGGATGTTTATTGTCTGTGAACACTTTCCTTGTTACTCTGCAGCAGTTTCCTCAAAGAGGAGTCCAGTTTTGTGAGCAGCTCTCTGCTGTCCATTTGCTGACAGGGAGCAGGGAAGATTTGTTTGCTTGAACTTGTTCAGGCCTTGATATTTTAAATGTACTTCACTCCTGGTTGTGCAGGAGGCAAAAGGGTGGAGTTGATGTCTCCACACCACCTTTCCCAGACCTGCCTGTGCCTTCCCACACTGCTCCAGTGGAGGAGGCAGGATGGGACTGACCCTGTTCGAGCTCCTTGGCATTTCTGGCAGATCCTGACATGTTTTACGTCTGCATCTCAGGAAGCAAACAGCACAGCTTCCTTTTAGCCCTTGGAGCCCCCTTACACCAAATTCAAGCTGATCTTCACCTTTTACAAACAGGACTTAGTTACATGAAGACAAGAATTCATTGTCCCATGCTTGCTTTTCACGATCCAGTGCCCAGCTCCTGCCACTGTACCTCAGCCAATGGGGGAAGGAAGAGGGCAAAATGCGGCCGGGAGTTCATAGAATAAAAGGAGGCTGCGTCTTCCGAAATCTCGATAGAGATCTACAGCTGTATGGCGTAGTGAACTCTCTCCCTTTATTCGAATAAAGTTGCCAGACTCCCCTCTCTCCTTTGCGGACACTGGCTTTTCATAGCGCGGTTTTTCGCGAGCGGTACAGGCTCCCCAGCGGTGCCCTGACGCGTACTGAAGTAAACCGGAAGTGACGCACCTGATTTTTGCTTACCATCGAGCCAATGGTAGCGCCGGCTGCTCCTCACGTGACTTCAGCGCCGGCTGCTGGGTCCTAACGGCCGCCGCAGCGCGCGCCGAGGTGAGCATGCGCAGTGCGGCCGCCCCGGCGTTTTCCAGCATTCTGAGGTGATTTTGTGGGAAAATCCCTCATCCTTCTGTGTGAGAGCGTCCCCGCCAAGTCCCCGCAAAGTCTGCCCGCGGGGAGCGCCTGTCCCTGGCCCCTCGGGAGCTGTGCGGGGGCACAGGGCGGTGCTGTGGGTTGGGTGAGGGCTCCGCCCGGGCCAGGACCACAGCCCCCCCTGCCCGGGCCACTGCCCTCCTTGGGCCACAGCCCTCCCTGCCAGGGCCACAGCCCTCCTTGGGCCACAGCCGCCCCTGCCCGCCCTCCTGGCCCAGGTACACACGACACGAGCCGCGGGGTGAAAGTTAGCCTTTATTACTGGGTGAGCCAAACTCTGCGGAAGCCGCAGCCAAGTGGAGGCCGCCTCGTGCCAGGTGCTGGAAGGGCCCAGAGTAGCCAGGCCCTCCATCCTCCGGCTGCAGCAGGAGGCCCTGGGCGCTCTGCGGCCCTGCCGGGCTGTCTAATGCCCCATGGAGGACGCCTGGGGACAAAGAGGAGGTTGCTGCACTTCCCAGCACGAGGCAGCACTGCTCAAGCATGCAAAGATGGATTTTTCCCATCCCTCCCAGGGCTGCTGAGAGCACATCAGGGTGGCCAAAGAAAGCGCAGAAAGCTTCAGTCTCCCATTTTAGAGCCATTTGAAGGCAGTTGACAGGGAGCAGTAGTAAGTGCCGTTGTCATCCTGGCGGGCAGATGCGATGGTGAGGATGCAGGCATTGCTGGCCAGGTCTTTGGTGGCCGAGAAGCGGTCAGGAGTCTTGGCAGGCTTGTGCTTGTCTCGCTCAGAGTTGTAGTAGAGCAGGTACCTGAGGGAGTGCCCTGGGCGCTGCTGGTACCAGGAGATGCCGAACTGGCTGATGTTGTACTGGGGGCTCAGGGTGCAGGACAGCTGAGCACTCTGCCCGGGCAGCACGAACACAAACTCAGGCTGGGTCAGCACGGGCTGAGCCCTGCAAGCTGCACACACCAAAGGTGCCGTTAGTGATGGAGCCATGTCCCCCATCACCCTTAGCCCCAAAATGTCCCTCAGCTCCCTTGAAGTAACACCATTACCCAACCGCCCTGCTGCTCATCGCATCACACAGCTCAGAGAAATACACCAACTCAAACCAACCCCTCCTGGACAGCCCAGGCCTGCCCACCACCCTGCAGTGCCCCCAGGCAGAGCAGCACCCTTACCTGTGCCCAGCATCCCCACCAGCAGCAGGACCATGAAGCCCAGGGCCATGGCAGGAGGCAGAGAGGCTGTTTCAGAGAGGCTCTGGGGTGCTGCACAAACCCTGGGTGCTGTGCCTCAGCACTGGCAGGGTGTATGTAAATGACACAGGGGGCTCAGGGACTCAGCTCCCCAGGGCTACTCGCTCTGCTGCAGCTGGGCTTCAGAGACAGGCTGAGAGCCACCCACCTTCACCCCAGCCCCTTTCCTGCAGCTGCACCAACGCACCCACAGCCCACCCCACACCACCCCATGCCCTGGGCACTGGGGTGGCATCGCTGACCAGCTCTCTTTGCTGATGGGAGGAGCAGAGAGGTTTCCCTGGGGTCTTACATTTAGGCCCTCTGCTGCCAGGCACACAGGAGGCCAGGAGCATGAGCCACACCCTGCCAACGCTGGGGGCCACGAGGAAGAACAGAAGATGGGAGGCAGCTGTCCTATCACAGAAGCAACATCAGGAAAGTTGCAGCTCCATCACTGTGACAGGAATGACTTGGCAGGGTCTCAGCAGGGACTGGGAGCTGCTAATGTTGCTGCCTCTTCACGAGGAGCACCTCAGGAGCAGCAGCCGTGGTGGGTGGCTGCTGAGGCCACCAGGCAGGAGCTGTGTCCCCAGGGAGCGGGGCAGAGGTGGCTGCAGCACAGCTGGTGCCTCGTGCGGAAGGACAGCAGCCGTTACGGCCACCAGCTCAGCGGGCGTGACGCCACTCCTGCCTGTGACACCTGTCACGGGGCCCAGGGACACTGCGTCACACGGCCACCAGCCAGGCTGGCCTCAGCACTGAGGGCAGCAGGCTCTTCTCCAGGCTCAGCCCTGCCAGTGCCACCTCATCACCATCCAGGGACAGCCACTCTCTGCCCTCTGCAGCACCCACAGACGCTCCAAACCGAAGACGTTTGCAAGTTTGTCCCTGCAGATAGCAGCAGTTTGTGTTTCATGCAGCCAGGCCCCTGAGCTCTTGCAGGTACAAGCACACTGCAGGTACAGCTCCAGCTGTTGCCCACCAGCACTCCCCAAATTCTGCAAAGTGGTGGCAGCATGTCACAAGTCTGGCTGCACATATCCCAGGGGAGGAGTGTCACACACACACCTTAGCCCAAGCTCTGACCAGGTCAGGTCCATGGATTAGACTGACTGTGAAATGAAACCTGGCAAGACAGAGGGAAATCAACTCCTCATGCAAAGAGGGGCATTCCAGAGAAAGAGAATTTGTCCTCAGAGCAGTGTGCACTAGATAATGCAGCACATCAGTGTTGTTACTGGTTCCCACCATTCCAGCCCTCCCCCTCTGCTGAGTAGCCAGCCCAGGGACATTACTTCATCCATGTTTTCCACAGGAAACGGGGATGATGCTACAGGGCCTTGACTGCAGGAACACTTGCACAGCAACATTTGGGCACCAAGTAGAAGATACAGCTGGCACAGGACCATGTACACCATGGAGCTGCAAACCCCCAGAGCAGGAGCAGCACAGGCAGGGTCCTCAGGGAGATTTTTCCAGTGGCATCCAGTCGTGTCACAGAGGAGACTAGGCCGTCCTTGCAGCAGTGCTGGGCTCAGTTAAGAGCAGATGTGGCACCACCACAGCCCACATGAGCTGCAGGACAAATGGAGGGGAACAGGAAACACCACGAGACTACAAAAAGTCTGAAATTCAGAGCATCTGGGGCCACATGGAGCAGGCAGCCTTCCCAACAGACTCGTTTAGCTCAGCCCTTGCTCACCCTCCTCTGTCTCCCCCCGCAGGAGGCTCGAGAATCTGCAGGGGCCATTCACTGTTGCTGGGCGATCTGGCTACTGAAACCACAACAGCGTCAGTGCGAGACGAGCCCGAGTGTCCTGGGCTCTCCAGCAGCTCCCAGCAGGAAGGGACCCGGCCCCACAGCCCTGCCCGGGGCACAGCAGCACCATGTTCGCCATAGTGAGATTCGGAGGTAGGTGGGGAAAGCCTCAGCCCTGCGGCCAGCCGGGCACCTGGGCCACCCCCACAAGGGGCAGGGAGCAATGCCCAGTGCTTAGGGAACAGGCAGGAGAGCTCTGCCAGGGCACAGCAGCATCCTGCACCTCACCTGCTTTAAAAAAGGGAGATCTATTACCCCAGCACTCCAAATTATGAAGGAAAGCCATTCCAGCAGAGCTGAGTTAATCACAGGGAGGTGAGGATGAGTTCCCAGCCTGGCAGTTCTGGGAAATCACTGGAGGGGGCCCTACTTATCTAGACACAATCAGAAGCACCATGGGGCACAAGTGCCAGCTGCTAGCAGAGCTCCTCTATTCTGGGCTGTGTGGAAAGAGCTCCCGGACTCAAATCCTGGCTCTCAGTTTCAGAGAGCAGGTATGTGTGGGAAGGACTGAGCAGCCCCTATCCTGACCTCACCCAGCTGGCTGAAAGCCTTGGCCTGACCCCAGACACTCGTGGCTGAAGCCATCAGACACACACAGTCCTAAGCCTTTGCTCCCTCTGCTATTTGAATTGGATCTCCAGCCCTGACTACTGACGTGTGTCAGCCCTGGGGGATTTCTCAATTGTCACAAACTCGGTCAGAGTTCATGGTCAAAATATCCTCGGGTGACTCAGCCACCATCTCCTGCTCTTTCCCCTTGTGACTGGGACCAGCTTGTAGAAGGGGACTGGCAAAGGACCAGGGCTCACTGCTTTTTCCTACTCAAGCCTGATGAAACAAAGTTGGAGGACAAAGACACTTCATCAATCAGAACCATTTTCCCCAAATCAAAGTGCTCATCCTCTCCCCTTGACCTGGGCCACTCTCAGCACTCCCCAGCAGCCATGGCTGCAATGCAGCCGCTCAAAGCCCTTCTGATGCCCCGTGGGGATCCTGCCTTTGCTGCCCACAGTGGGCATCTCTCAGCCACCTGCTGTGCCCCCTGCCATGCCCATGTGGTCCCTCAGTTTGGGGTGACCCTGCTCCTATCTCAGGTCTCATTCCCTGTCTGCAGCCAACTGCCAGGTGACGGTGAACCTGCTCTGCTGTGTCCAGACCCTCACAGGTCACCTGAAGCTGAAGTGTCAGTGCAGGCCTGAAGGTACGAGTGCGCTGGGCTGTGGTCACCAAGGGAATGCCACTCACCCATAGAGGGTAACAAATGGGCCACACGGGAGTCACAGAACACCCAAAACACAGGGAAAGGGACGGCAAACCTCCCACTTCCCAGATCTCAACAGATTCTGTTCAAAGTGTAACTTGCCAAGGAAAAATACCTCTAAACATCACAGGCTCATGTTGGCCACACAGGGGCAACCCTGGGCTTCCTTCACCACATCTCTCCCTCCAGACTGCATCGATCTTGTGGATGAAAAGGGCACCCTGATGAACCTGAGCAAAGTGGAAGATCCTGCATCTGATTATGCCAGTAAATACCTGCAGGGAAGGCAGCACTACATCCTCATCAGAGTTGTCCGTAAGCTCCTTGTCCAACAGCACAGCTCAGCCTCTGGGCCAGGAGGGGTCTGCTCTGGGGGGAGGTTTGGAGAGGGCACTGTTCAGCAGTCACTTGGATACAGCACAGAAAGCTCCAAGGAGGCAGAAGCCAGCTCGGATGAAGAGCTGGAGCTGCCTTTTTGCTTGTCCAAGGGCTGCTCCAGGGGAGAAGGAACTTTTCCTGGGCAGAACCACCTGCTGCAGTTACAAGCCTTCAGTTCATAGCCAGGAGAGAGACTAATCCATTTCTCCTATTCTGCTGGCAGGAGAAGAAAACTCTGAAGCCACCCTCTATGAATCCTTGCTAGAGGACCTGGAGAAACACTACCCTGACCTACCAGGTAAGAGCCAGGCACCCACCTCACCTCCACAGAGGAGTCAGGGGTGCAGGCATGACTCCTGTTCCCACCTCAGGACTCTCCTCTGATCCCCCTGTGCGCCTTCAGGGCTCTTATGGCTGTGGGCAGCAAGTGCATTCGAGTACCAAGGGAAGGGACAAGCAGGGCTGCTGTGCAGGACCCTCTCAGTTAAGGGTGACACCTCACACCAGGCAGAGCCCTACCCAGCTTGTCCCCTTGGCAAAGACAACAAGGTTTGTTCCATCTCCTTGGAACAAACAGGGAGGGAAGGACATCAGGAAAAACTGGGAAACCCTCAAGTGTCTCTCCGAGGCTGTAGTCTCACAAATTGGCAGTGCCTTGGTCAACACGTAATGGGCAAGTGACCAACACAGCAGGAAAGCACAACTCTGTAAGGGCTTGGTCACTCCACAGATCAGCTGCAGCAGCTTTCAGGAAAGACCGAGAGGACAGACCAGAAGAAGGACTCCTTGGAGATGGCTCAACCTCACAACAGCACCCAAGCCAGGAACAAGACCACCTTACAGAGAAAGAGGAGCTTGGAGTTCAAGAACACCCTGAAATGAGGAACACACCTCCAACCAGGGCCAAACACCTGCCCAGGTACTTATTCCCAACACAGAAGAGTCCCCTCTTCCTGGGATCCCCTTCCCAGAGCTGCACCATGACAAACCAGGCACACCAAGCATTCTCCTGCTTCAAGGACTCTCACGTTCCCATGGCATGGCCTGCACTTCCCAAGGACAAGAAGCTGCACCTCCTTTCCACCCACCTGCACTGTACCACTGGATGGGGCTGCTTCCCACTGCACCACCCTGGCGTGGCCCTGCAGGGACTGCCCACTGTAATCACCAGGAAAAGCTGCTCTAGACACAGCCAGTCCCCACAGCTGCAGAAGCAGCACTCTGCCAAGATGGCTCAAAGGTAGAACACACCTGCTGCAGGTGCTGCTGCTGCTGGTTCTCCTCAACAGCTTTTCCACCCAGAACAACACACCAACAGACTAATATACTCATTTCTTAAAGGGAGTTAAACAACTTTGGAGTGATTCCTCCCTGCTCACAGGACAGCTCAGCACATGGAGCACTTGGGCTTTTAATCTCTGGCATTTACTTTTTCCCTTGGCTGTCTCTCAGGAGAGCACAAAACACCCCTGATAAGGCCAGGCACAGCTCAGGACATCTCTACCAAGAATTTAAGACTGTGACATTTAGAAGGGGCAGAACTTTGAACACCAGCCTCCACTATCTGCTAACAGCATCTGCTGCCAGCACTTACCATCTAGACAGGATTTCCTCACAGATCCTAGCAAGGGGATGAGAACTTGTCCTTTAACAATCAGAGATAAAAGGTGAAAAGACTCATTCTGCCATGAAAAATGCATCAGTTAAGCACCTGAAAGTGTCCCGGTTTCACAGCTCTGCCACTAAAACTCCAGCTGAAACCTCAGAATTCCCTCTTATGCCAACAGGAGGAACAAGGTGCCCTTGTCCTGCTGGAGGCCAGTCCATGGGCAGCAATCACGAGGCTGTGCTGCCAAGGTGAATGGAAGAGGAAAGCAGCTCCAAAACTTCACCTGATGCCAGTGACCTCGAGAACATTGCATAATCTGCTAAAACTGTAAAGTCCCACAGCCAGACAGATCACAATCCCTTAGCTCTGAGGTCAGGACAGGTATTCAGGAAAAGGATATCTATAGAAGAGAATTTGTTACTGAAAATACTGTGAGACACGTGTTGGCTTACCTCTGTGCAGCCTCTCCTCTGCCTGGAGGGCAGCCAGTGTCTGGATCTCCTTCTGCCAAGTCATGCAGGCACAGTCCTTGCTAGGCTGCACCCCCTGCTTGCAGGAAATACACACTTGTGCCTTGTCCTTTGTCTGATAGTGTTAACGTTTTGGTAGCTTAATTTTAGCTTGAGAGTTAAATAAAGAACATGCACAAGTGATAGGTCCAAATAAATTCTTTTATTTCTCTGTAATAAATACAGCACTATCTGCATACTGAAGACCCTTGGGTCCAATAATTCCTTTCTTTCCCTACTAGTTCACAGGTGAATTACCACTAGAATACTCCTGTCTGGTCAGTCTGCTCCTTCCAGCTCACTCCCTATCTGTCCTTCCACTCCCTGTGGATAGCAGGGCTCTACACCACGATCCTCTTCCCTACGAGGGGGAAAATTCTTCACAGGAGAGAAGTAACACCTACAGGGAAGAAACAGAAGTTCAGCATTAGGTACATGTTCCAGCAGCTACAGTTTATAAAGCTCTCTCCCCCAAGGTTACCAGATCATGACCTAACTACTAACAACAACTTGTATCAAATACAGCAGGAATTAAAGAATGAACCAGGGAGAGCAGTAGGCTTCCCATGGCAACAAGAGTGGACCCCCTAAGAAGGTACCTACAGCCTCCCAACCCTCACAGGGACACAGTCAGAATAATTTCTCCTTCCCTTTCCAGCTGCCTTCTACTCTTCAGGACACGGGAAAGACACAACTGCTTCCTACTTAAAGTCCTAAAGAACACTATACCCCCAAAAGATCGCTCCTGCAACTTTCAAACCCTGCGAGGTGCTTGTGCTGGCAGCAGTTCGGTCCCGCAGGGTCAGGGCACACTCACCATTGCTGTACTTGCACTGCTTCAGAGCCTCGTTGAAGCCCTCGCACAGGGTCAGGTCTCTCTGGTTGGTGGCGCATTCCAAGAACTGCTTCATCTCATAGTGGCAGGGTCCGTACGGCGACTGCTGCATCACGGGCCGGGGCTCCTGCGGCCACGGGCCCGGTCAGGACGGCGCGGGGGCAGCGGCGCCTCCTTCAGCGCGCTCCCGGCCCCTTGAGCTGCCCATCCGTCCGTCTGTCCGTCCATCCGTCCCTTCCTCCCTCCCCACACAGCCCCAGCCCCGCAGCCCCGCACCCCCGCCCAAGGACGGCCCAAGGGCACAGTCCGGCTCCGCTCGCACCTGGGCGGGCGCCGCCGCCTTGGCCGGCTCGGAGGAGCCGCCGCTGAAGGCGCCGGTGATGGCACTGCCCACGACATGTCCCACGGCGGAACCCACGGCCACGCCGGCCGCCGTGCTCGCCATCTGCGCCATCAGCCCGGGCTGCGCCGGCTGCGCCGCGGGTGCCGGGGCCGCCGGGGCCGGGCTGCGGAGAGAAGGGAGTCATGAGGGGGCGGCACAGGGAGGGCGGCGTGCCCGGTGTGCCCGCCGTGCCGTGCCCAGCCCCGGTACCTGGCGGGCGCCGGTGCCGCGGCGGGCCGGGACACGCTCCTGCTGCCACGCGCCATCGCTGTCTGCCCGCCCCGCCCCGCGCCCCGCCTTAAGCCGGCCCGCGCCGCCACGTGACGCAGCGCGCACGCGCACACGGGCGGCCGGAGCCGGGCCCCGCCCCGCTGAGGAAGGAGCGGCTCCCTCGGAGCGCATGCGCAGAAAGCGCGGGGTTGTCTTTGCACCGCCCGCCCAGCCCCGGCAGAGGGCGCGCGAGGCCCGCGCGGCCCCGGGAGCGGGGATCGATCACGGCATGGATCGGAGAGCATCGATCACCGAGACACCGGAACAAACACCGAGCCCAGGCGCTCACCCCGCAGTGCCAAGGCCACCAGTGACCTGTGTCCTCAGCTGCCTCTCCACACGGTTTCTGAGCACCCCCGGACCGTGACCCCAGCGCTGCCCTGGGTAGCTCGTCCCGAGGCTGGAAAACCTTTCAGTGAAGAAATTTGTCCTTAATGTCCAATGTAAACATTCCCTGGCACAGCTTGGGGCCGTTTCCTCTGGTGCTGCCCCTTGCTACCTGCGAGAACAGAAGGATCTCCCCGGGCTCCTTGGTCCGCTCCGGGAGCTCCCGGGACAGGCGCTGCGGATGGGGACAGAGCCGGGAGGTGGTGGGGATGACCAGGGAGCAGGATGCAGGGAGATGTTGGGATGGGGACAAAGCCCAGCACCAGGGAGGACGGTGCAGCTGCTCTGCAATGCTCGGAGCGTGCTCCTGCCAGGTGTGGGGCAGGCCTGGAGAGCGTGAAGGGGCTTGTTGGAATGGGCAATGAACCCATTCGGCCTCTGTTGCATGAGAGACGGGGTGGAGGAAGGTGGATAATGAGGGAAGATGAGCATTCAGTAATTGGGGCAGGGAAAGGAGGCTGCCAGGGAAAGGAGGGAAGGGAGGAATGATGTGGTCTAAGCCATTGACCAGCGCAACAGTTTTTGCAGCAGCCCTCTGGATACAAACCAGGAGATCAAGGAACACTTGGCAAGGCGTGGACATTGTTGGGCGGTAGGAATCCGTGAAAAGATGATGATGAGCCCTCAAATCATGAAGAGACAGGCTGGACGACGCCAGTTTTACCTCCAAACCAATTTCCTGACAATCATCTCCCCTGGCACCCCATTAGTCTCCAGGACCTCTGTGGGTCCATGTCTCCTCATTGTCTCCCTGGAATGGACCTTGTTACCACCTCCATCTCTGGATGTTCCTTATGTCTAACAGAGAGAAAGAAATTTCCAAAATTGAGAAGGATCCAGAAGATGTCCAGGAAAAAAAAAAATCTCAGCTATGTCATGTCTGTAGGGCTGCGTTTGTACATTCAGCAAGTTATGAAAAGCAGCTCTTTGGGCTGGTTCATTGACTGGCAGGAATTAGAGAGCTAAGTCACTGCAGGGCTGGCAATTAGCTGCTCTGGAAGTGTTTTTGTAGGGTCAAATTTCCAGCACGAGGGGAAGAGTGTGTAAAGCAATCCGCCCCTCGGCGCAGGAGCCGGGCGGGCAGGGGGAGCTGCAGCTCCTGCCCTCCCGAGGAAAGAAAAGGATTGTTCCTTAAAAAACCACCGCTGTGAGGGGCAACACCCCCAAATCCTTCCTCCAGCAGTGCCGGGGAGCTCCCCGGGAGCTGTGCAGTGCTGCTTTCAGCTGGAACAGCAGCATTTCACATCCAGTGTTTCCCTGCCTGTCTTTTCGCACTGCCAGAGAGGCGGCTGAGCAGCTGGAAAAGCGGAGGAATGTGACTGGAAAGCCCCGGCCTCAGCAGCACCTGCACTTTTTCCCTTTCCCAGGTGTGTGGTTCCCTTCCTTGAAGGGGAAAAGTGTGGCCCCACGAGGAGCCATGAGAGCAAACAGATCTCAAGACAGGAGAGAAAAAGGGCAGGAGGGGGACGAGGGTGACCTCAGGGATCTCTGCCAGCTCAGCTGGGCTCTCTGCTCTCAGCAAGAGCCACCAGGGCGTGGGGCTGGGGCTGCCACGCCGCCCGCTCCTTTCCCTGCTTGGTCGCTCCTGGCCATAGGAAGGGGCTCGGCTTGTGCTGGAGAGAGGAGAGGACGGACTGGCAGGGGGCACAGGGAATGCCAGAGCTCCAGCAGGAAGAAATCAGGATTCATTAGTTCCACTACGAGCAGAACGACTTGCTGAAGGAGCCCGGGCTTCAAGCTGAGCGCGTCCCTCTGGGCTGTGTCTGGGGGACCCTTTGATTTGGTTAATTAGACACAAAGTTTTTCTGTGCAGTGGGAGGCCGGGTATGTGCTGAGGAGCGCAGCTACCCTGGTTTTACTAATGAGATAATTAATTGTGGCTGTCTGCGA